GATTAAATCTTGACCCAGAAATCACTCTTCATTTTTGGCCATTGATTATAAGAGTAAAATAAATTTTTATGCAATTAACTAAGACTAACAAAGTCTAATTTCTTCGTACCCATCAGTTGCTAGTATGAGTTAATCAGTACTCACCAATAAGACGCTCGATATGCAAACATTTTTCCAAGCAAGGAAAAATTATTTAAATAGTTTAAAATAAAAAATTTGAAAGGTCATTTACCTTGATGTGGGCTATGACTGCGTTTTGATTAAAATCCCCACCAAGACAAGCGCCAGAAGAATTAAGATATAATGAAACGTTATCCAACCAGAACGCCAGTTTCCTAATAGATGCTTCTAAATCGCTCTCCGAATTTGACATTTGAGACATCTGAGTGGTTGTTTGTTGTCCCGTCTTGGGGTTGAAATTGGAGAAAATGTTGACTAACATATTCGCAATATCCTTCTTATATTTGAAATTAAGAAACTCACGATTTTTTCTGGTTGATCGATTCTAAGGAGCTGGCATACAGTCCTCCATTCCTTAAGGCTTTTCTCAATACTACTAACAACTTCAGGATTAAGTTCGGGGAAAACGTAATTGCGTTGCGTGGATTGGAGAGGAGATCGGATATCTGAGATATAATTGTCATAAGCCTGCTCCAAAGTTCGTAATGTGTGTCCAGTTCCACTTCCGGTTGGGCTAAACTCATTGCGTAATTGCTCCTGAATTGGGCAAATATGGTAATGTAAGCATTTAATGTTAGATAATTACTCTTTATACTATGGCATTTATTTTACATTGTCATTCTTTAAGTTATTAAGTTCGAAATTTGCACAAAACTAATAAAAAGTGAATATTATTTCAAATATATATATTGAATTTCAAATAAATGTAAAGCAGAACTAATTTCTGTCTACAACTTGGACAAGCGGGCCTTATATGAAAGTGGAATATTAATTTATTGATTTGTGAAAATAATGGGTTATTCATGGTTTAAAATGAAAATACTCTAATAAATCCCAAAATCAGCAGATATTAAATATGAAACCTAATTTAATGCGATTTTACTAATACTTATAAACGATTATTTTAAAGATAAATATCATACCAAATTACGGACTAATTAGTACCCAGTGTTGCTTTTGTCACATAACTCCACTGTTATATTATTATTTATTAAATTGATTGGGTTAATGAAGAGAAAAATATTGAGAGCAGTAGTGAGCACTGCTTGGAACGCTTTAGGTCTGTTATACTGGCGCATAAAAAGAGATGAATTTAATCGAATGACACAATCTAAACGCAAATAAAATAACTGCCGAACAGGTTGTAATCATTTTGAATAAGACCACATTCAAGCATCCAGAAGTCAATTTTTACTATGTAAACTTCGATGCATGAGGAAATCGACTAAACTAATTAAACCATATTATAGGTAGGCGAAGTTAAAATTCTCATGTTTGAAGTTAATCTGCACCCTTCCAAGCACTGAAATATTTGAATATATTAAATCATTAAAATACTTGCCCATTGATTTTTCTCAAGCAACATTTCGCCCTGAACTCAAGTGTTTAGAAGGATAACATTTCAAGCAATACCCGATTGAAATTGACCGCAAATAAAGTAGTATTGCAGTCAAAATTGTGGAGAGCTTCTGAATGCAAAGTTAAATTTCTATTCAAAGAAAATGAATGCCAACTTCCAACAGTAAGTGTATCCAAATCATCTGAGATCATATTAGTACCTTGACACGTTAGTAAATATTAAACTAGCTACTTATTACTTCGTACTAATTTAGTATTAGAAATGGATTAATCTTCACTTGGTTTGGTTTATTTATTTAAATAATAATCAATTAACCTCCGCATCATAAATTCGCTTGAATATAAAGAAATAGCCCTTTAAAAATTACTGCTTCCTAAAAGGGAAAAATTTTAATTGGTCATTTCTTGGAAAGGAAAGGTATGGAAGAAAAGATAATTTCTGTGGATCACGTTATCGCTCAACAATTGGTCATCTCTCATGTCATCTAGCTGGCTTAGACATGTGGGACACGTTATCGCTGTGTGCACATATCTACCTTGTGGGACACGTTATCGCTGTGTGCGTCATCTTATGCCTGCATGTCTGCTCGCCAGGATGGGAGGTGCAGCCAACTCTGTGTGCAGCGACCGTACAAACAGTGGCCAATCACTAGAACCTCAGCGACCGTAAAAACAGTGACCGAGCATAATCCCCCATCCTGATCATGAGTAGCTCCCTGCGTGTACTTACTTTATCCGCAGTACTCATAGTGAAAAAACGTGTTCCGTGCTACACGTCTGTTTCCTTTGTAGAATAAACGTGCTCCGTGCTAAACATCTGTTTCCTTTATATGCAATATACGTACCGAATAAACGCATTTCGTGCTACACGTCAGTTTCCCTTATAGCTGGGCTATAGCTTAGCTTGTTCTGGGAGTCTAGCTAGATGTTGGAGAATTCTCCGTGCTACTCGTCTGTTTCCTTTATAGCTGGGCTATGGTTTAGCTGGTTCTGGGAGTCTAGCTAGATGTAGGAGAATCTCCCTGGTTCTGGGAGTCTAGCTAGACGTTGGAGAATCTGCCGTTCTGGGAGTCTAGCTAGATGTAGGAGAATCTGCCACAGATATAAACGCGCTCCGTGCTACACGTCTGTTTTCTTTATAGCTGAGCTATAGCTTAGCTGTTCTCTAGCTAGAGGTTGGAGAATCTGCCATAGAGATTTCTGATTCCTAGCTAGATGTTGGAGAATCTGCCATAGAAATTTCTGAGCCGGTAGCTAGATGTTTGAGAATCTGCCATGGAGATTTCTGAGTCGGTCTAGCTAGATGTTTGAGAATCTGCCATAGAGATTTCTGAGTCGGTCAGCTATATTTCTATTAGGAAATGGCTTTAAAGTCAATTGGGAGCAATTTTGACAGATTTAATTAAGTTTTCTTAGCTACTGGGCCATATATTTCACGGTGCAGTTCTAGGCTGACTAATGCATGTCGAAGCCTAACATCTGAAAGAAAATTAACTATCGCAAAATTCTTGCTAAACATTTATTTGGACTAAAGTAGGACAAGGTTGTGTAGAGTTGTCCATTTTTGTGATATTCAATCGTTAACTAAGCTTTAGTGGTAAAATTATAGTATTAAATTTTCTTTTTTTCAGAAACGAGAGACTTTAGCGGAATCTGAGTCACAATTTGTGCCTTTTTTGGCTCCTTGTATCTTCAGTACACGAGAAGTAATTAATTCTATTAGAGAACAGTGTTCTAGACGAGTTGGAACAATTGCGTTGATTTTCGTGAACGGAGATTCGAACACGGTTGCACTTTCATGATTACATATTTTATATTGAAGCTTAATGTTATCTGTTGCCAGAAGAAAGATGACATTGGAGATTGCTTAAGTTAAATGAATGGGCAATTGCACTACCATCAATTTCATCCTTGAAGGGCATTTAGCCGTTCTAGGCTCTCATTTATTGCATTGAAACTAGCTAAAACTGTTAAACCCAACGGGGTTCGCTTAGTTGAATTGAGTCAAGATGTTCTTCACTATTTGTGCTCTGAATACGCACTTGTAAAGTATGAAAATCGAGTCAGGTTTTAAATTCGGAGCTGCGTGGAGTGAAGTGAACACATACCAAAACCTGTCAATTGATTATTGCTGACACTTTATAATGAGCTACTTGGGGTGTGCGATAGACTTACCTCCCCGTGGTGCACCCTGGGCAACGTATACGCATACGGCAAAAAAGTCTATTAACCGGCAGTTGACCTACGACATCAAACTACCATCATCCACTTTGATGTTCCTTCCCCTCTGTGAAACCTGAAGTCAACTAAAGGGCAAATGATAACCATCAAACCGCCTGCCATTTGATATAATAATAATAATGAGCTACTTTGGCGCAAGGAAAGCAAATGAGATAAGGAAACAAAAAAGCATGCTAAAACTTGATCAAAAAAGATAGAAATCAACTCGAAAAAATATATTTCTATCTTTCTCGAACTAAATGAAACAGTTTTAAGGCTGAGTTTTGCCGTTGGGACAAGAGATAAACGTCAAGCAATGGCATTTCAAATAAAAATACATTATACTAATGTCGTAATTCTTGAAAAAAATATTCAGTGGTTGGCATTATTAAAACAGACTTTGATGAGTCACCTACCTGGCAACATGAAATACATTTCGCGCTGACAACGCACTCTATACCTTGACTAACTTGGTTCATAAAAGAGTTTTTATTGTTGGTGAGTTGATCATTTAGGTGGCTGAAGTGGATCTTTGTTTTATACAGAAAATTTTTTAATTCTGCTCCTTTGACCACTTTAAACCAAGGTATATAAAAGGTTTTTCTAACACTGTTCTACACAAAGGTTCTGCTAACTTCGTTTGATCCAAATGAAATCCAAACTCCAACTAGGATTCTCTGTAGTGCCAAAGGTTTTCAATGAGATGGAATATTTTATGAAATATTGTGGTGGATATCGAAGATGGTTTCTCATGTAGAATTAGACTCGACTATTTACATATAGAAAATTAAGGTTTTTCATATTTCTAATTTCATGAAAAAAGGACCACTAGACGAAGAACATTACTATTCCAATGGAAAGTCCCCTAGATGCTTCAATTGTGGAAGTTAATAATGATTTTATGATGTATGTGGATAAAATAATAACAATAAAACGTTTTAATTTGCTAAATAAACGTAGAAAACTGTTTATTGTACAATATTGAATATTTGTATGCATATTACGCCTAATTATTAGCATTTGCCCTATATAACGCTTCTAATTTCATCATTACAAAAAAGCTAAATTCGAGAATATCACATTTTCATTGCAACTGATAATGCATTAACACGTGATCTGAAATAGATTGGGCAACTGTGCTTGATGTGCTATTTGTCTAAGATGATTCTACAACTTTTTTTC